CCCCCCCCCCCACGCTTAACTGTGTTCGGTCCGCGGCATAATAATATTAAATCTCTATAGAATTGTATTAATTCTGTAGTATAAATGACGTCTCAAAATTTCGTTATAAACTTTGAAAATTGTTGCATAAATTATTGAATCTGTGCGTCATCTTTAATGGATTAAACCAGGTTAATAAAGTAAAGCCATCTATATCAGGAACCGGTGTGTTTCTCTTCTGACTCTCTCTCTATATATATATAACACAAAGTAGAAGTTATATAATCTACAGGTGAACAATATAATTATAACAGTCCCTCCCTTGGGTGAATCGCAGCATAAAACCCCGAATATAAATTACGTTTACTCAAGGGGGCAATAAGCTAGTTCTTAGGAAATGAATCAGTCGTCTTGGTTGTTTCTAAACCTGAAATTTTAATTATTAAAGGATATGCCAAAAGTTGTATCAGAAGAACGGTATATGTATGACATAATCATAAATTAACACCTGTTCTAGTGCAGAAAAGTCACTTTGTACTTCTTTGGCATACCAGTCTACCTACCATACAAGAAATACGACTGGGTCAAAACTCAAAAATCATGTTTTATTCTAATCTACCCGCAGAATAATATCTTACTTTTGAGAGCCTGGTATAGGTTATCCTAGCTATTCAGCTGAGGGGATCACGGTGGCTAAGTGGGTAAGGCCCTGGCTCGCTAGCCTGGAGGTCGGGTGTTCGATCCCTGCATTGTCCGAGAAAGTTCATCCCGATTTTCCGGCGTGGTTCCCTCTTGTCAGTGATGCAGGACGGAGGGCCTGACAAGGACAGCTGTCTAGCCATTCGGATGAGACGAAAAACCGAGGTCCCGTGTACACATTGACGTGCACGTAAAAGATCCCTAGCTATTCAGCTGAGGGGATCACGGTGGCTAAGTGGGTAAGGCCCTGGCTCGCTAGCCTGGAGGTCGGGTGTTCGATCCCTGCATTGTCCGAAAAAGTTCATCCCGGCGTGGTTCCCTCTTGTCAGTGATGCAGGACGGAGGGCCTGACAAGGACAGCTGTCTAGTCATTCGGATGAGACGAAAAAACCGAGGTCCCGTGTACACATTTGCGTGCACTTAAAAGATCCCTAGCTATTCAGCTGAGGGGATCACGGTGGCTAAGTGGGTAAGGCCCTGGCTCGCTAGCCTGGAGGTCGGGTGTTCGATCCTTGCATTGTCCGAGAAAGTTCATCCCGATTGTCAGTGATGCAGGACGGAAGGCCTAACAAGGACAGCTGTCTAGTCATTCGGATGAGACGAAAAACCGAGGTCCCGTGTACACATTGGCGTGCACGTAAAAGATCCCTTGACAGTTGGAATTCGATATAAGAGTAGGCCGTAGTGCCGCTGTCCGGGCAAATTTCCCTCATAGCACACTGTATGGCGTATGCCCGTCTTCATTAGCCCAGTTCGGAGCAAAACAGTAGGACGTTAAACCCCATTTCATTTCATTTCATTTCTATTCAGCTGATATAACCTCATGTCGATGACATTCTTTACGAAATGTAGCTTATATTTAGGACGGAAGTGTTCTTCCATAAAACTGATACCATTTTTCGATATAGAAATGCAAGTCATTTCATTTCTATTCAGCTGATATAACCTCATGTCGATGACATTCTTTACGAAATGTAGCTTATATTTAGGACGGAAGTGTTCTTCCATAAAACTGATACCATTTTTCGATATAGAAATGCAAGTCGTATGGGCTAGAATTGTAACTCATATTGATAAGGACACAGGTGGCTTCAATAAAATGTAATTCATACAGCCATGGGCACAGTTTTCCTCGTTCAATGTAAAGTTTCAAAACGGCATGGGCATGTTGTCCTTCAATGAAATGCAACTCATATAGTCAAGGGCACACTGTTCCCCAATGAAATGTAAAATTTCAGATTGGCAATGGCGTGGTGTTCTTCAATTAAATGCAACTCGGATTGATTGGCAAGTCCTTCAAAAAAGTCTAACTTATACCGGCAAGGACGTGTTGTTGTTAAATGGAATGTCGGGAAACAGGGTTCTTCAGTAAAATGTAACTCATTTCGGTTAAGGGTAGAGTGTTCTTCTATGAAATGTAACTAATATTTGTAAGGGTTGTAGCGTCTTAAGTAAAACGTAACTCATATAGGCATTTTCAACGATAAGGGTAGTAGCAACGTTCTTCAAACATGTAACGCACATCAGTAAGGACAGAAATAACCTACTGTTCAGTAAATGGTAATCGTAGGGATAGTGGTTTGACTAACACTATTTAGTAAGGGTATAAGGACGTTCTCTAATTAAATATAACATATATTAAAAAAGAACAATGACGTTTTTTCAATGTTTTGCAAAGGGCAACAGCGGTAACTGATGGTGATGATGATGTTGATGGAGATGATGATATTGAAATTATTGAATTGATTTAAATCTCTATATAAAAAGGGGGACCTCATCTTATACTAATGAGATCGAAAATGCAACGTTGAGTTTATTGCCTTAGTGTACGACGAGGCGACCCGATGGGCGTACTTATCGGCATGCTTGAATGACCGTCTATTAATAAAAGGGTCAAAACTAGCGGTTAAATTATTACATTAAAATATTATTATTAAAATACCACACAAGCGGTGTAAAATGAATAATGAATAATTTATATGCGGACATGATGGGTCTCATCCGAATCATAGCTCTACTAAGATGGGTGTTATCAACAGATAACGAGGGCGTTATTTATAGTGTTATGTAAATAAATATAGATATATTACATACCTATATGACCTGCCTTGGCTATATATACCTTACATTAAATAAAACTTACCTCTAAACATCAATGCGAATTCTTCACATATCAAGTCGATCACTGACATGCTGAATTCTGAAAATTCTGGGCTGTAAAACCCTTGTATTAAAAACGAGTGTCATAGATTGTCATTACCGACTGCCGTCGAACAAAAACTTTATTTTTTAAAATGTCTGAGCAATTCTAGATCCTTACTAAAATGTTTTCCTTATATATTCCCTTTTCAAGCATCAACGAACGGGGTATTTGGTGTTCAACATATCTGCATATCGTGAACATGAAATAAAATGGGGTCTATCTTTCTTCGTTTCTGGATCAAATATATGCTAATTACGGTGGGCATACATTTTGCCCAGGCAGCGGCGTTACTGCCCACCCTGCATTGAATTCCAACTGGGAACAGTTATTTTACACAGGATCTCGATTGTTCATCCCATCCGAACGACTAGACTGTGTTCCTTGCCAGACCATTTTCCTAAACCACTGACAAGGGGGGGGGGGGGCTACACTGGAAAATCCGCAGGAATTTTATAGGGCAACACAGGAATTGAGCCCCTGGCTTTCACTTTGCATTTGTGATATAATGTATTTAATATACACTGTTTGCATTTATGTCGTATACAAACATAATAATGAGGTTTAAACAAATGTCCAATCTAATGAGCCTCAAAGATGCACGAATCAAAAACTAATTGCGTATGGATCATTATAAACGCCTATATATTATTACGAATCAAACATATATAGCGAATCTCCTACTCGTCTTTTTTGATACGAAAAAATATCAACAAGCTCAACACGCACAAATAAGTAAATATAATAAAATCAAATTCATGTAAAGTTATCACACAAGCTATATCTACTGTAGAATGTGTTATTGGGTGATAAATTAATAAAAGTAATTGTGCACGATAAACGCATTATTATATGCATAGAGGTTTAGTAATTCACACAAGAGAGTGCATTGTATTGTGGGCCCTGTACTTAACCAAAATATTTCCGCTCGCAAAATAATAAAGTACTGTCATTCAACTCTGCCGGAAAGATAAATTTAGTTAACAACAATATCTTCTTGTATTTCTTTCATTTATTAACTTCTTGCTTAAATCAAAAGCCGTAGTCGGAAACTAACCGTAATGCAAAAACTCTCGTGGGTTAAACTTCAATCACGGGAAAGCACAACGGAGCGTGTGTGTGGGATTTATAAAATTTAGTTGTTCAAAGAATTGGCACTAACGTTGTGCACAGAAACGTGTTGTGCACACAAATGTATTCGATATTGTTCAACTATTTCCTGTAAGTTAATGATGAATATCGACATTGTCAGATTTCCATTTCCGTAATTATTATGTGGGGGAGGGGGGCTGTTTACGATGTTGGTAACACTAGCTGTAATATTAGAGCTACGGATGTCTTGTCCGCTGGAAGCAAGACGGAAGTAAGACGGAGAACATCATTAGTGAAACCATTTCAAAGGTAACACGTGCATTAGGTTTGCGTTTGTTCGTTTTGTCTTTGTTAAATTGTTGTTTCTGTAGAATTATCGATTCTTAATTATATAAGCTAGTTGCAGCCGAGTGCCGGGTCAAAATGGAATACTTAAATTTAATAATATAACTTACAATATGAATTAATACATTATTTATAGCCGCATGCAAAATATATTTGTCGCATTTCTGCGAAGTGATTATCAGAAGCAAGAGCTTTTCGATACTTCAAAATATCTCACTCTTCCCTGTCTTCTTACCCCTCCGTACCAGAAAAGCGCCCGAATTCAGCACGACAACTCCCGCCAAAATGACAGGAAGCTGGACCTGTAAGTGGATGATTGTCTGTCTTTGGATATATTAAACTAATAATAACATGTCAAACAATTTTTTAATTGCTCAGAAATGCAATATATTTGCTAATAAGTTGCGGTAATCAAATACATATTGTATTGACCCGGCCCATTACTACACAAACGTACCTGGAGCAGATAGTGTACATTCGGGGAAGGCCAAATGAAAGGTGTCGGGGGCATAGGTCTGTTGAAAACCATTTTTGTTCTAACAGAATCCATGGATGGCTGCTGGTGACAGTTTATATTATGTCTTATGTTTAAATGTAAATGTCTTATATTTAAATGTAAATATTATGTCTTATATTTAAGTGTAAATATATGTTTAAATGTAAATATTTCTTATGTTTATTTCAGAACTCATTATTATACAACATATAAAGAAAGATATCAACCTCAACCAATGACAAAATATAAATGTTGTAATGGTTGGAGACAATTAGATAATAATGGAGGTTGTATGTACAGTAAGTACTCATTTATTCTTTGTGTTATTAACATCATAACCAATGGCTATGGAATTAACATTATACTTAATTGGTAAAATTGTGAATGACTAGTTTTAAGAATAATCTTCGCTTTGTTCTAGTTTTATGGATGTGTAAGTTGTGAGCTTGAGAATTTGAAATGTCCTACATCTGAATTGGTTCATTTTTGGAAGAGCCTTTCACTGCCCATGATAAGAATAATGTTCACTTTGTTCCAGTCTTATGTGTGTGTAAGGTGTGAGCTTGAATGTCTCACATCTCAATTTGTTCATTTTTGGATGAGCCTTTCACTTCCCATGACAGTTTAAGTATTTGATAATATACTATTCAAAAAAAGTAGGGGATATTTGATTTTTAAGTGTTATTAAAGTCACCTAATGAAACTGACGAAGAAACAAATGACAAAATGAAATGAAGTTCACATTCATCGATTTATTCCAAATGATCGTTAGACTAAGTAAGGCACAGACTGACCATTATAAGGGTAAAATGATACCCGGGGTCAAACAGCAAAGTTACCACAGCATCACAACCAAGTCAGTAACGGGTAAATCCTCCTCTGTTTGCCAAACAAGCATTGATCCGACGTGGCATACTCCTAATGAGACGTCTAAGGTCATTTTGGTCCAGATTGTCCCATTCCTGTTGCAACGCAGCAGCAAGTTCTTGGACATTGGCAGGACGTTGTTGACGTTGACGTAACCTCTGTCCAAGCATGTCCCAGACATGCTCGATGGGGGAGAGGTCGGGACTCAGTGCTGGCCAAGGTAATGTGGTGATGTTCTGTTGTTGGAGGTAACCTGTAACGATCCTGGCCCTGTGACATCTTGCGTTGTCATCCTGGAAGATGAAACGGCGGCCATGACGTCGTGCGAACGGCACAACATGGACTGCCAAGATGTTGTCCCGGTAGTACTGGCCTGTAACACGCCCTGCAACAACATGTAAAGCCGTTCTTCCAGCAACAGTGATGCCTTCCCACACCATAACAGAACCACCCCCAAATCGATCATGTCTGATGACGTTAACGTCTTGGAAGCGCTCGTTTCGACGACGCCACACCCTCCTACGTCTGTCCAAAAAATCAACAGTGAACCTTGACTCATCTGAAAACATCACATTGCTCCAGCGTCGATTATCCCAGTGTTGACGATCCATACACCAACGACGTCTTGCCTGAATGTGATGATCTCTCAAACAAGGGATCACGCGAGGACGTCGGGCGCGAAGGTGACCCCTATGCAGTTGATTCCGAATCGTCTGGCCACTCACTCTCACACCAGTGTCTGTTTGAAGACGAGCGCTGATCTGATTTGCTGTGATGACACGATTTCTCAAGGCCAAGGTACGGATAAATCGATCCTGGGCTTGAGTTGTCGCCCTTGGTCGACCTGAGCGTGGTCTGTCCTGTACAGATTGTGTATCACGGTATCTGGACCATAGCCTGCTTATGACAGACTGAGAAACATTCATCGTCCGCGCCACAACCGCCTGTGTTGTGCCGATCTGTAGCATGCCAAGGGCACGTAACCTTTCATTTTGGGTAAGCCGACGCATATCAAAATTTGTTTTCTGGTCACTAAAACAATTAAACTGATGTTTCCACCCTGGAATTCAATGCCACAATGACTGTAACATTCAAAGTCAGAGTCGTGCAAATCTTGGGTTGGACCCCCATGATGATCCCAAGCATCACCTGCATTCCATGCGGTAGCTATTGGTGCGTTTGGGCGTCACATGTAACTGGAAATGTTTCTTCTGTTAGGTTCTATAATGACTTTTTTCGTAGTCATTTGCATATTTTAGTATTATGCCCCCAAAAACAAATATCCCCTACTTTTTTTGAATAGTATAATAAGTACCAGTAGTAATAATTGTAAAAAGATGTAGGTCTGTTGGCATTCTGTTACAGGTGCACTGGGAGAGAAACTGATCAGACATAAGGATGACAGAAAGCTGAGCATTGGGTGTCCGAATGGTTTAACGCATGCACCTTTAGACCATAGGGTCAAGTGGTGTGGTTTCAATTGGCCAATTGTAATTGACATGGAGTATAGGGTCACCTGTCCAACCTCGTGGGTTTTTTCTCCGGTCCTCCAGTTTTCTCCTACAGCTAAACACCAATGTGTGGAAGGGAATTATTGAAATAGTAATCGAATCATGTTTGTCCCAAAACAGCCTAATTTTTGTTGAGTGGACATTTGACCATTTCTCTCTCTCCATTTCTGCAGTGTAAGATTGTAGGATAGTAACATTCTTGCACTGGTTGGTTGCTGTGATCACATTTTGTAGCGGACATTGTCCTCTCTCAATGGGGTCTTTATAATAGAAAATTGCAGTAATGAGTTCTTTCAGTGTTACATTTTTATAATGTGGTGATTAATGTTTGGTCCATATTCCTCTTATTGTGTTACTAATGATATAACAAACATATGGTTTTATCATAGCATTAATACAGTGCTTTATTATTTAAATTAAATTACTAGGGACACCTGAAGTGAAAGGATTCAGTGGCTGACTTGTTGATACAAGTTTGAATAATACACCTATATTTTTTTATTAAATTATACCCAACTCCCACTATTAATGTTGACATTAGAGAGATGAATAGGAAGGTATTTTTAAATAGATTCAACTGTAAAGTTTTTATATCTATATGTGCATATCTTTACAAATGTCAAGGCACATACAGTAAAATACATGTCAAATCATCATGGGTGTCTTCAGTGATGTTTTTATAATCGTTTAAAATCGCATATGTATGTAGTGTCCACTGACAACTGATTGCATGCATTCTTTCATTGACATGCACAGTAAATATAACTTAAATTGAGAGTATAGTACCACCTCCCCCTCTTTAAAATATGTTTTATTTTGTTATCTATAAAGCAAAATGCCCTGAAATAAAAAAAATGATGTCTGAAAAGATGGAGAGAGGACCATGACCCTAATGCCAAGCTGCTCGCCCAAAATTTACAACTGGGTCCTTATTTTATTGCTGTACATGTATCTATAAACCAGGACTCAGAATTGCTTGCTTTATGTACCAATTTTGTATAATGAAGTAAGAGAAAGGCTGACTCAACATAAAAGTGGCAAAAAGATTATGTAAAACTAAAAATTGTCATAAATTTCAAGAAAAATTGATTTAAGTGTGTATATAAGAAATTTTGTTAATGTAGATAAAGGTTTATTTGAGATTAAAAGTTGATGAAATGATTTACTTGAACACCTGGTTAATTCAACTCAATTATCTCCCGTATAAAGAGATTTACACCATCTACAGTTAGAGAAAATAATACAACAAACCTAATTTCATGGTTTTCACTTGAAAAATGTCTAATAAAAACAAGTTACAGTATTCAGTGGGTTAGGAGCTGGCTCAATAACCAGAACGTCCACGGTTCAATCTCAGTGTGAACTGAGCAAGTGCAGGACAGAGCAGCATAGGTTTCCTTTGCCAGTTCCCTTGATAAAGATCATAATATTTAAGCATGATTATGAAGATCTATTGATTATGTCAAGGGGCGGGTCTTTTAAATTAAAACCAAAGAAACAATAATTTTCAATTTGCTGTAGATTCCTACAAGTTGTCATTTGAGATTGTAAATCTACCTTTAGAAATTAAAATTATTAATCTTTTTGTGAACAGACCATGAAATTTGTTCAAATCCTATCTTTTCACAGTTTATAGTAACATATTATCGTTTGTAAAGTATATATGTAAACATCTGACATTAATAACAACATGGGGTCAATATATCAAAGAAAAGCTGAAAAAAATCATATGAATGTTGTTGAACCGGTTAGAAACAGAATTATATATATCCTTTATTCCTCACCAACTCTTGCTGAACACTTCAAACATTTTTTTGTGTCTGTGTTTCCTTGAGAGGAATGTCCATAGACCTGGAGACCTAGAAAAGATAACATGACCCTGTGGTTCAAGAACAGGCCAGTGATTTAGTACTATATTGTTCCAGCAGGCATTATTTAATAGGAATCACTCTGGCATTAACTAAGCATATAATATCACATTTGTCATCTATTCAATTTCCTAAATACCCAAATATAATTAATTACTTAATCCTACCTTACACGAGCACCAATGATCACAGATTAATCAAAGCTGGGAAGTTGTGACTAGGCAGACATTTTCATTTCAATTCGAAAATGGAAATGCGACTCCAACAGAATATCAAATACACGATTTAGACAGTCTGTTTAACTTTACATACTGGTAAAAAATTATCATATTTTTTAGACTTATTTATAATCAAATGTATGTGTAACTTGAAACTAAACAGTTCCGATTGTAGCTAAAAACAAAAAACAACAGATTTATCTCTAGCAGACTAGGATCCTGTCTACACATGTAAACTCACATTGTAGTTCAGGGTGCGAATTTCGGCACAAGTTATAATATACGCCCTATCATAATTTTGTTTTTAACTCAAGTTTATTTTTTGACAATTTACAAAAGGTTAACAATAGCTGAATAGAAAACAATTTGGTCTCTTTTTACTCAAAGCAGTAATATGAATTGGCTTGTGTTGTCAATATAAGATTTATTAATGAACAAGAAGTTTACATTTCCTGAAAACAAGTATGATAGTGTTTTCATTTAAAATAATAGTTTTGGGGAAAAAAAGTTGTATTTATCAAATTAGCCTAATCGGAGCAGAACAGGAGGACGTGAAACCCCATTTCATTTCATTTCATTTATCAAATTACAAGTCGGCAGAAATAGAATATCACAAAAATGCATTATTAACCTAGGCCCAGATACTCAGCTGTTTTTGAGGAATAATTAATCATTTTGGCAGAAAATTTCACTCCAAACCTGCCAACTGAATTTGAAATCTGCAGATGTAATGTTGTAATATAATATATATGTAATAAAAAGACAACCAATAATTTAAAAAAGTTTATTTGAAGAATTATGTGTTGTAGTTCTTCTATTTCATTTTAATAACCTA